GGCACGAAAAGTGCGAAAACGCATAATCGCACCGGCCCACCTGGTACTTTCCAGCCTGGGTTTTAAATTGTCTACTTTCTTGGTTTACGACGTAAAGAGACTGGGAACCAGGAGACGCCATGATTTTCTGAGTACTTTCAAAAAGAATTTAATTTGCTTCGCACTTTTTGCTGGTAACATCAAAGGAATATGAGGCAGCTTTTGCCCAAGAATGTATGTGTTGGGAGAACGGTTTGCTTGGGTTTCTTTTCACATCTGGGGAAGAAAATTTTGTTGAAAAGCCAGCAACCATTTGCTTCTTTCATTCATCAATTTTATTCAAAAAATTATGAATACAAAACATGAGGTGTATGTGTGTGCGTGTGGCACCGCAAAGCTCGTCTGGTTGCAGAACCCTCCAAAAAAAAAAATGTATATATATATATATGTATATGTATGTGTGTATGTATGTATATATATATATATATGTATATATATGTACATATGTATATATATATGTATATATGTATATATATGCGTATATATGTGTATATGTATATGTACACATATGTGTATATATGTGTATATATGTATATACATATATAAATATATAAAGTTGCGTAATTAAGACCTCCTCACTTTTCTAAAAAAGATAGCGTCAAAATTAAGGCTGTTTCACTTATTTTTTCTCGCTGTTCAGCATCTGGAACCGCTGGCGCATCTGAAACTGATGTCTTGACTTTCGACTTCTCTCTTACCAAAATCCCCCTTTCACTCCAAAGACCACGGAAAAGTTCCCCTTCTTATATCTCTTCAACTTGTAGATGCTCAAAATTTGCCAATTTTCATGGAGTTCTGTGGCAATTAGTGTGAGGGAAGAGGAATTCACGAAATACGGAGGGAGCGAGTCAGGCGTGCAGCAGTCGTAGGAGTAGGAGAGCCTTCGAGCTTTGCAGTAAAATATCAAAATGCATCGAGAACACGTGCGCACCGGAGAACAATTGCATCACTGGTATGTGCATTTCAAACAGTGCGCAGAGATACTCATTCATCTCCCTGGTCAACAAGCCGGAATGCTTCCAGTAATTCATTCAAGTCAATGAAGCCGTCCTTGTTGAAATCGATGCTTTCTGCGATTTCCTCCAAATACGGTGCTGTCAACGGGCTGCGAGTATATTGCCCCAGGATTTTGCAAGCATCCAGGAATTCCTTCATTGATACCAAACCGGAATTGTCCTTAACAAGTTATGATAATACTTTTTTTCATCATTGGGCATACAAAAACTCAGGCTGCAACGCACTAAACTTGCCAGTGCGGTCATACATTTTCGTGCTAAAGTAGCAGATCGCTAACAGCAGGAATGTTCTCTGCTCTATAATTTAACACTTGGACTCATATTGGCTGTGTTTTGATTTCTTCCCGCATGCAGGAGAAAGAGCGCCGGCTGGAACGAAGGTTTTGCATTATGGGGCCGCATAGACCTCGAGTGTGCATGATTATCGGTTTCTTGCATGAAGTCCGGCTGTTTTTCCGATAAATGCTCTTTTATTGAAAAAGTGCAAATTTGAAGGGAGTCGAAGAGATTGTGAAATCTACAAAATGCAGTCGTTTTTGAGTCTGCGATAAAACTGAGTATTTCTCATTCTGCGTGCAGAGAATTTCACCTTCAAACTAAATTAAGACTACATATGAATATAGAATAAAACTGTAAAGTTTCAGCTTTGCAGCTTCTCGGATTTGTGAAATAGCCACTTTACTACAAAAATTTTAGAAGTGTCCTAAGGCGCGACATAAGTGCAAGTCGAAACTCAATTTAGGTGCGTGATTTTCCGTATGAACAGCAAATATTTTGACAGAATTTCAGCTTCTGTTTTTCAACTAGTTTTCGAGTTAGCACGGTGCTAACTGCGAAATTTGTCACGATTGCACGTGCAGTATAAGTGTGTGCGATAGCTGAATTTGAAATCTTTAGCTCACACATGTACAATATCTCTGCAAAGTTTCAGCATTCTACCTCATTTGGTCCACGAAATCGTTTCCCACCAAAGAAATCTGCATATTTTTTTTTTGGGAGGGG